CCAAAAAAAAAAAAAAAAAAAAAAAAAAAAACAAGGTTGCCATAAAACACAAATATGGGATTAGTGAACATTTAAGACATAAATGGAAAATTAATATTTTTCATATTCAATATTTGATTTAAAGTCCATATAATTTCCTAAAATCATTCAAATTTTATTAGTGCTTATTGTTACTATCACAGACACCTCTGGCTGGCATATTATATTGACATAATTTCTGAAGGGCATTAATGATAAATGAAAACGTAGAAAGCCTGTTAATAATGAGATCAAATTGCTTTCAGTGGTCTTTCTTCATTTCATCTCATTTTACAAAGACGTTTTTTCCTTTATCACAAATGTAGAAAAGCAAGATTGCAACAAAGATCATTAAAATCATAGGCAGGGAAAATAATATGTGGTTTTTACCTTTTCGAGAAAGACCCATTTTAGTCATCTTATTAAACTTACATTTGAATATTTAAATGTATGCATATATAAAGCATTTTTAAATTGTGCTTTTGAAACTGCATTATGATAATAAATGATTAATTCATTGGTATAGTGCTGAATTGAAGGATTTAGAATGTAAACTTTAATAGTTCTCTTGTATTTTGTCAAGTGTGGTTTTGAGCTTAGTTACAGATTGGCAATTGAACTTAGATATAAGCCTTTAAGAAAAAAATGAAAGTAGGTGCCCACTTATCTAGAAATTTAGCTATGCTTGTTCACTCTGAAGTATAAGATAGGTGTACACTTGCTTCCTGAATACAAATAAGTTGGAACATTGTGGTTGCAGTTACATTGTGGAAATATTCTCAGGCAGTAAGCCCACTACATATTTAATTTTTATGCAAGTTGTGAAAAATCCTCATTCTTTTAGAAGTTACTGGTTTTCTAGATAAATTAATCATTTGCTGATATGAATTCTAAAGTCATAGACTAATAAGCTTGGGAAGAAGTTCAGTGGTAAAGCACTTGCCTAGCATGTGTTAAGACATATTCTGGCAAATTCATTCCCATTAAATAAATATTTCACATAGGTAAAGATTCAGATATTGTAACAAAAATAAAAGTGTATTTTTTCCTTTCTTAAATTTTACCTTTCTTTGGTCAGTCACATGTACAAATAAATCACAGAATGTGATAAATTTCTTAGAGTCTTTCTAAAAACTTATAGATCTGTCATAATATGACTAAATTCTTAGCTTGCTTACTGAGTAAGTTTTTAAGCATTGCTCTGAGTTTTAGTGAGAGTTTTGAGATAAGTGTTGTGCTTCATTGGATTTTGTAGCTAAGTTCCCTCTGAAAATGTATTTTAAAATGGCCTGAAAAGGACAAGTGAAGCTAGAAGCCTAGAAAAGATGTAGAAATATATGGCCACTTCATATGCAATAGGATTATAACAATAGTTTTTGTGTGGAAAAGTGTGAACCTTTGAATAAACAGTTATTCAATATGGATACTCATATGAAAAAAGCAGAAATTGGATGTGTATTATACATGTTTAATTTTATAGAATATAAGAGCCAACAACTTTTTGTTTTTAGAAGGAAACAAAAAAGCACCTTTATAATTTGTAGAAGCCTAAGAATTTCCTGAAACAAACAAACAAAAAAATTAAGCCTTAAAAGTTAATCAAATGAGGTTGGGTGTGGTTGCACATGCTTGTAATCCCAGCACTCCCGAGGCTGAGGTAAAGAGGTTGCAGTAAGTTCAAAGCCAGCTTGTCAAGACCCTGTATTAAAAAAACAGAAAAACAAAAATCAAGTCAGATATATTAACATTGAGTATCAGGGAGGTAGACGTTTGGATATGGAAAGGGGATCTAAAGATAAAGGGAGACAAAAGGATTACAAAGGGAAGGAAGGCAAAACTGATGAAGATGCAGTATGCACAGGTACCTATTCCCCCAGATGAATGTAATTATTATGTATCACAAACATGCACTAATAAAAAATAAAAACCGGCACAGTCACATGAAAATAGCTACAGTAAAAATCAGCGTGATTGAATTTCTAAAACAAAAAGCCAGATGAAGTAAACAGCATACACATGTACAACATTACATATAGTATGATTTTATTTGTTTGAGATTTATAAAACAGGAAGAACTATATTATATTGTTTAGATGCACAAACTAAAATTGCTTACTAAAACTTAAAAGCAAGGAAATTACTATGACCAAAATCATAATTATGATTATTTATCTCGAGGCAAACATATGGAATAGCAGGAGAGAAAAACTACTGTTTTCTTAAATGGAGTTTTTTTTTTAAACTCTAAGTGCATTTTTCTTCACATAAAACTTTATATCTCAGAATATCAAAAGCTAAAATCTAAAAATAAAGATTACCATAAGCTGTCAATTGAAAGACAAATCCTCTAATTAAATGAATTTATTCTTTCTTTTGAATCATCCCTCAGGTGTTCTTGATGCTAAATACCTGACACAGTTAAAGGAAGAAAGGTATATTTGGTTCACAGTTTGTAGAGGTTTCAGTCCATAATCAGCTGTCTCCAAGGCAGAGTGGCATGTTAGAGGGGCGTCACAGAGAGAAAGAGTTCATGGTGCAGCAACGAAGGCAGAAGGTAGCAAGCAGCAAGCAGTGA